AGAATGGCCACTTGTGAAGAGTGATGGGAGCTGTAGTCAAAAACCAATTGGATGACCACTTGGATGTTTCCAGCTTTGGTTTACAAGTAATTGATCTTGTTAGGCTATCGATCCCATCAGCCACAGTAGAAGTCACTGATTGGAATGATGGGTGATGTAGTCCAAACACCAACCGGAGGGCTACTTGGATATTTCCAGCTTTGGTTTACAAATAATGGATCTTGCTGTATTGTCAGTCCTATCAGTTACAGTAGAATGGCCACTGCTGGGGGGTGATGGGAGCTGTAGTCCAAAACCAATTGGAGGACCACTTGGATATTTATAGCTTTGGCTTACAAGCTGTGGATCTTATTGGACTATAGGCCCCAGCAGCAAAGCCCAAGTAGTGAGCAATGATGGGAGCTGTAGTCCAAAACCAGTTGGAGGACCACTTGTATGCTTCCACTTTTGGTTTACAAGCGGTGGGTCTCATTGGACTATAGCTCCTAGTGACCCAGCAGTTAAGAATGATAGGAGCTGTAGTCCAAAACCAACAAGAAGACCATATATTTCCACCTTTAGTTTACAAGCCTTGGCTTCTGGTGGCTGCCTTTTCGAGGAGATTGGACCTGACAGTTATTGCATCTAATTAATAAATCCCTGCTCATTAAGAAGAAAGCGGGGATATTTGGTGATGTTTCATGAGATAAAGGAGCTTTAGGGGATGGCTGACATGTGTGTCTGTGAGAAAGAGAGAGAGAGAGAGAGAGAGAGAGCGCATACATCCCTCCAGCTGGGCTCATTGAAACGCAAATGGCACCAAGATTTCGGCAGAAAAGCAAAGAGAGCGCAATCAATATGGAAAGCAAAGCGATCAGACTGCGGAATTAATGCAGTTTGGCACCACTTTAACTCCCACAGCTCAATGTTATGGAGTCTTGGAAGCTTCAATTTGGCAGAGAAGGCTGTTGGAGTTAAAGTGGTGTCGAACTGCAGATGCACACCACAACATGCAACTTGTCCCAGCTCCACAGTGGCCTTCGATACCGCAGACCACGATATCTTTTTGGAGATGGGTCTTGGGGGTACTCTTCTGCAGTGTCTCCAGCTCTTCCTGGAGGGTCGTACCCAGAAGGTGTGTTTGGGGGACTCCTGCTCGGACCCACAGCCATTGTCCTGTGGTGTCCCGCAGGGCTTGATGTTGTCCCCATGCTGTTTAACATTTGCATGAAGCCGTTGGGTGAGATCATCCGGAGTTTTGGAGTCCGATGCCATCTGTAAGCAGATAACATCCAACTCTATTACTCCTTTCCACCAGATGCTAAGGAGGCTGTCCAAGTCTTGAACCGGTGCCTTGCTCACTGTAACGTTCTGGATGAGGGCGAGCAAATTGAAGTTGAATCTAGACAAGACAGAGGTCCTCCTGGTCAGTCACAACGCCGAACAGGGTATAGCCCAACTTACCTGTCCGAACGCATCTCCTCCTATGAACCAGCTAGGATGTTAAGATCGTCTAGGGAGACCCTGCTCTTGGTCCCGCCTGCATCACAAGTACGGTTGGCGGACATGAGAGACAGAGCCTTCTCAGTGGTGGCCCCTTTGCTGTGGAATGCCCTTCCCACAGAAATTAGATCGGCCCCCTCCCTGTTAGCATTTCGGAGGAATGTTCGAGCAGGTATTTGAATAGGCAGTGTAACGAATATAGGAATATGGAACATTTGGATGATGAGACTGGATCTTGATTTTCACTATGAGACGAGATGAGATGTTATGATGTTTATTGATTGTTATGATGTTATTCTTTTAAATTGTTCTTAACTGTTTTATCATGTTTAAGTATTGTATTTGCTATTGTTAACCGCTCTGAGTTGCCCTGAGGGCTGAGAAGAGCGGTATACAAATATAGTAAATAAATAATAAATAAATATAGGGTTACAGCCTGTGCTGGATGGGGTTACACTCCCCTTGAAGGTGCAAGTTCGCAGCTTGGGAGTCCTCCTGGACTCATTGCTGAACCTGGAATCTCAAATTACGGTGGTGGCCAAGGGAGCTTTCACACAATTAAAACTTGTGCGCAAGTTGCGCCCATACCTTGGGAAGTAAGTCTTGGTCATGGTTGTCCATGCTCTTGTTACATCTAGGATAGATTACTGCAACACGCTCTACATGGGGTTGATTGTTTGGAAGTTTCAAATAGTCCAACAAGAGGCAGCCAGATTAATAACTGGGGTGGCATACAGGGAGCACACAACTCTCATGTTGTGTCTGCTTCACTGGTTACCAGTTCGCTACTGAGCACAATTCAAAGTGCTGGCTTTGGCCTTTAAAGCCCTAAATGGCCTCGACCCAATTTACCTGTCCGAATGCATAGAAACATAAAGTTTAAAGAGACCCCATGGGCTATTCAGTCCAACCCCCTGCCAAGAAGCAGGAAAATTGCATTCAAAGCACCCCCAACAGATGGCCATCCAGCTTCTGTTTAATAGCTTCCAAAGAAGGAGTCTCTACCACACTCCCGGGGCAGAGAGTCCCACTGCTGAACAGCTCTCACAGTTCTTCCTAATGTTCAGATGGAATCTCCTTTCTTGTGGTTTGAAGCCATTGTTCCGTGTCCTAGTCTCCAGGGAAGCAGAAAACAAGTTTGCTCCCTTCTCCCTATAACTTCCTCTCGCATATACATAGCTATCATGTGAGAGCTGGACCTTAGGGAAGGCTGAGTGAAGGAAGATCGATGCTTTTGAACTGTGGTGTTGGAGGAAAGTTCTGAGAGTGCGTTGGACTGCGAGAAGATCCAACCAGTCCATCCTCCAGGAAATAAAGCCCGGCTGCTCACTGGAAGGAAGGATACTAGAGACAAAGTTGAAGTACTTTGGCCACATCATGAGGAGACAGCAAAGCCTAGAGAAGACAATTATGCTGGGGAAAGTGGAAGGCAAAAGGAAGAGGGGCTGACCAAGGGCAAGATAGATGGATGGCATCCTTGAAGTGACTGGACTGACCTTGAAGGAGCTGGGGGTGGTGACGGCCGACAGGGAGCTCTGGCGTGGGCTGGTCCATGAGGTCATGAAGAGTCGGAGACAACTGAATGAATGAACAACAACAACAATCATGTCTCCTCTCAGCTCTCTCTTCTTCAGGCTAAACATGCCCAGCTCTTTAAGCCGCTCCTCATAGGGCTTGTTCTCCAGATCATTTTAGTCACCCTCCTCTGGACACATTCCAACTTGTCAATTTCTCTCTTCATCTCCCTCTATGAATCACCATGGAGATTAAGATTCTCCAGGGAGGCCCTGCTCTCCATCCTGCCACTGTCACAGGCGTGATTGGTGGGAACAAGAGTGAGAGCCTTCTCAGTGATTGCCCCTCAGATATGGAACTTCCTTCCTGGTGGGATTAGATCAGCTCCCTCCCTCCTATCCTTCAGAAGGATGATAAAAACTTGGTTGTGGGACCAAGCCTTTGGGACAGTGCAATAAGGCTACAATAGGAAACCTTACCATGCTAACAAGATTCGATGTGGATGATCGAGACGGTTTTAAACAGTGGATTTTAATGTTGAGATAAATTATTTTAATCATTAAGGCAAAGGTAAAGGTTTCCCCTGACATTAAATCCAGTCGTTTCTGATTCTGGGGGTTGGTGCTCATCTCCATATCTAAGCCGAAGAACCAGCATTGTCCATAGACACCTCCAAGGTCATGTGGCCAGCATGACTGCATGGAGTGCCACTACCTTCCTGCCAGTGCGGTACCTATTGATCTACTCACATGTGCATATTTTTGAACAGCTAGATTGGCAGAAGCTGGGGCTAACAACGGGAGCTCACCCCACTCCTCAGATTTGAACCGACGATCTTTCGGTCACCAAGTTCAGCAGCTCAGCAGTTTAACCCACTGTGCCACCATGGGTACCCATTTTAATGATTATGAATGTGAATAATCTATTTATGTCCTGGCATTGAATGTTTGCCATTTGTATATTGTGCTCCGCCCTGAATCCCCTTCAAAGTGAGAAGGGCAGAATATAGTATATAGTAAATAGTAAAGCACTATAACTTTTTTCTTGTTGGAATATTTCTGTTTTCTATTGATTGTTTTCTTTATTAATTTTTATTTGAAACTAAAGTAAAGGAAGCATTGTCCCTTCTCCCAGGCGTTTTCGCAAACTAAGATGCATAGTCCAAAAGCAGACGAAGGAAGGAAGGAAGCAGGGAGGACAGGGAAAGAGGCAAATTAGCTACTAATTCTTCATAAAGTTACATAATAAGCATAATATGAGGTGTTTGTTATTTTTGTTGAATTCAGTGCAGATGGATGAACGTTCTAGGGAGTTAATATAAATGGTAAACACAGCTACTCAAAGGGAAAAACAACTTTGAGAGGCAATGAGTGGTTTCTGCATCAGGAAGGCTGTGGATCCGTTCTGGATTTTGGCCCAGACTGTAAAAGAAATATCCAGGGATGGGTCTACACTGAAGAGTTAATGCAGTTTGGCGCCACTTTAACTTCCCTGGCTCAATACAGTGAGATTTGCAATTTTGCAAAGTCTGTCAATAACATTGGTGCCTCAACAAACTACAACTCCCAGGATGCCATAGCCTTGAGCTGGGGCAGTTAAAGTGGCATCAAACTGCATTATTTCCATAATATAGATTCAAACCATGGATATTAAGGATCTTTGTTCAATGTTCAAAGCACAATAAGGTGACCGAATGGTAATATCTCTATCCCAAGCATGGGCAAACTTCTGCCCTCCAGGTGTTTTGGACGGTACCTCCCACAATTCTTAACAGCCGGTAGGTTGTTAGGAATTGTGGGAATTGAAGTCCAAAATACCTGGAGGGCAGAAATTTGCTCATGCCTACTCTATTTGAAAAATTAACTTTTTCAACCAACCTTTCATCCTACACGTGTTTTGGACTCCATTCCCCAGAAGTCCCAGCCAGTATGCAGGAGGATTCTGGGAGTTATAGTACAAAAACACTCGGAGGGTTGCCAATGTTCTGCCTCTGCTTCTTGCAGGTGGACCGGTCGGAGGTCATCAAAAGCAACCTGAACCCGGTCTTCGCCAAGGTCTTCATGGTGGACTATTACTTCGAGGAGGTTCAGAAGCTGCGCTTCGAGGTCTACGACATCCATGGCCACGGAGGGATCGGGACCCATGACGATGATTTTCTGGGCGGGATGGAGTGCACCGTGGGGCAGGTAAGGAATGGAAACACATCCCTTTGGACAACAACTCCCAGCATCCCCAACAGCTGCCACATCTTGGCTGTTGAAGTCTCAAAAAAGCCACTTTTTTCAAATCTGTGCATCTCCTACCAAGTTTAGGGAACTGTGGGCCACAAAGCCATGTTCCTAAGCCCTGGGTCTATTAACTATGTGGACAGAGGGGTGCTGGGAGTTGTAGTCAAAAGACACAAGCTCTAACTCTATCGGGTATGCAGACAGAGGGATGCTGGAAGTTGTAGTCCATAATCAGCATGCTTCAACACTGCAGATCCTGGGAGTTGTAGTCTCCCAAAAGTCACATTTGTCAAAGCTGTGTGTCAACTGGCCAGGATGCCTATAGGTTACCCGAAGACATGTTCCGAAGCTCTAACTCTATCAGATATGTGGACAGGGGGATGCTGGGAGTTGTAGTCCATAAGCAGCATGCTTCAGTGCTGCAGAACCTGGGAGTTGTAGTCTCCAAAGGTCACATTTGTCAAAGCTGTGTGTCAACTAGCCAGGAGGGCTATAGGTTTCAGGAAACTTCATACCCAAAAGAAACGTTTCCGAGCTCTAACTCTATCGGGTATGCAGGCAGAGGGATGCTGGGAGTTGTAGTCCTTAATCAGCATGTTTCAACACTGCAGTTCCTGGGAGTTATAGCCTCCCAAAAATCACTTTGTCAAAGCTGTGTGTCAACTGGCCAGGATGGCTATAGGTTACTCAAAGACATGTTTCTAAGCTCTAACTCGTATCAGGTATGCGGACAGAGGGATGCTGGGAGTTGTAGTCCATAACCAGTATGCTTCAATGCTGCAGATCCCAGGAGCTGTCGTCTTTGAAAGCCATATTTTTCAAAGCTATATGACCATAGGCTATAGGTGTCAGGAAACTTCATGCACAAAAGACATGTTTCAAAGCCGTAGGTCAAGCATGGGCACACTTTGGCCCTCCGGGTGTTTTGGACTTCAACTCCCACAATTCTTAACAGCCTCAGGCACTTTCCTTTTTCCCCTCAGTTGCTTAGGTGGCTCAGGGGGAAAAGGAAGGGGCCTGAGGCTGTTAGGGATTGTGGGAGTTGAAATCCAAAACACTTGGAGGGCCAGAGTTTGCCCATGCCTGCTTTAGATCTACCCAAAATGCCAATTCCGGCATTGTCAAAAAGGCCATGAGTCCAAACTTTATAAGCTTGGTTACCTTAAGGATTCTGGGAATGGCAGTCCTGAAAGCATATTTTCTAAGGCTAAGCAATCTAGAAACTCTCTTTTTCTTCGAGGGAAGGAGAAGCTGAAGGGGAGACGGAGGAAGCCAAATCAATGCAGCTCTGCACGGAGCAATTTGGGAGCCATTAGGAAGGCGGCCGTTCCCCCGCCAAGCCTTCTGCGGCTTCTTGCTCCTCCGCAGCAATTTCCCTCCCAATCTGCGCTGATGCTCCTTGCTCTCTCTTCCAGTGGGCAAGTAATTGCCCAGTGATTGCTGGCCTCCTGTGGAGCTGCTTTCAAATGCAGGGAAAAATGGGGATAAGTGAGTCTCCCAGGAAGGAATGTCTGCCGAATCAGGCATGCCACTGCATCCCCTTTTTGATGAATAGAGATCTATGGTGACCATTTCGTGATCCAATACCGGTTACATTTTGGACGGCAACTTCCAGAATCCCGCAATTTTCATATTGTAAAGTCTGTGAGATTGTGAGAGAAATACAGGACACGAAGCACCACCACCACCACCACCACCATCATCGTCGTTCTCACACCATCTCTTCCATCAGAAGGCCGACCTAGTCAACTGTCAATCTATATTTACATTCTATTGCTACTATATGTCAATTCGGTATTTGTGTTTGGTACAGGTTTTTATATTTTTGTGTTTTTATCTATGTCATTTAGTGTATCTATTTTATGCTAATATGTTTTTAACTTTTTTGTTTACTGCCCTGAGCCAACAGGATTGGCACGGGATAAATATTGTTTGTTGTTGTTGATGTTGTTGTTATTATTATTATGGCAGAGAAAGCAAAATAGATGCTAGTAGAAAAGAGCAGAGCTTTAGGGAAAGTTTGGCTGTTCAAGCCGCTTTGAGTCTCCTAGTGGAAAGAAAAAGCAGGGTAATAATAATAATAATAATAATAATAATAATAATAATAATAATATAATAATAATAGCTGATGTTGCAATCCCAGGCAACAGCAGGATTGAAGAGAAACAACTGGAAAAGCTGGCATGATATGAGGATTTAAAGATTGAACTGCAAAGACTCTGGCACAAGTCAGTAAAGGTGGTCCCAGTGGTGATTGGAACACTGGGTTCAATGCCTTAAGACCTTGGCCTGCACTTAAACACAATCAGCACTGACAAAATTACCATCTGTCAGTTGCAAAAGGCCACCCTACTGGGATCTGCACGCATTATTCGCCAATGCATCACACAGTCCTAGACACTTGGGAAGTGTCTGACGTGTGATCCAATACAACAGCCTGCATAATGATCTTGCTGTGAACTAATCTTGTTGTATTTCAAATAATAATAATAATAATAATAATAATAATAATAATAATAATAACAACAACAACAATAACAACAACAATAGGAGCCCCAGTGGCACAATGGGTTAAACAGCTGAGCTGCTGCATTTGCTGACCAAAAGATCAGCGGGTCATATCTGGGGAGGAGAGTGAGCTCCCACTGTTAGCCACAGCTTCTGCCAACCTAGCCGTTTGAAAACATACAAATGTGAGTAGATCAGTAGGTACCGCTCCGACAGGAAGGTAACGCTGCTCCATACAGTCATGCTGGCCACATGACCTACAGACAGGTGTCTACAGACAACGTCGGCTCTTCGGCTTAGAAATGGAGATGAGCACCAACCCCCAGAGTCAGACACGACTCGACTTAATGTCAGGGGAAACTTTAACCTTTACCTAATAATAATAATGGACTTTTGGACTATAAGTCCTGCACACACACAAATCCAATTTCCTTGGCTGCCTAATCCATACCCAAAACAGTGAAAGCCAATGTCCACTTCAGCTTTATTAAAGACCTGAAAGGAGCTCTCCAAGGTGGAATTTCAACACCTTGGGAAGCTATTTTCAAAGGTATTCAATGTCTTCTCCTTCTTTGCCTCATAGATTGTGGCCCAGAAGCGGGTGAGCAAACCTCTGTGCCTGAAGTACGGAAAGTACGCAGGGAAGTCCACCATCACAGTAAGTGTGTTGCCCCTTTCCCTCTCGTGGCTCGAACACAGAAGTGGCCATGGCCAGAGACCTTCCTGGTGGCCCCTGACCCTCTCCTCTGCTCCAAACAGGTCACCTCAGAAGAGATTTCCGGAGACAACGGCTTTGTTGAACTCTTCCTCCGGGCCAAGAAGTTGGATGATAAGGTGACTCGAGGGCAAGCAAATTGGAGCAGAGGCCAAAGGTGGCTGATACCAAAGGGGGTTGGATGGCAGTGGAAGGGAATCCAGTACTAACCCTACATGGGGCTACTTCTGTAGTCTTGATCTCATTAGTCTTGACCATCAACCCAACATGGACCTAATTATGTAGCCTTGACTTCTGTACACTTGACCACCAACCCAACATAGTCTTGACCTCTATAGCCTTGACCATCAACCCAACATGAACCTAATGTTGTAGTTTTGAATTCTATAGTTTTGACCATCAATCTGACATGGGCTTTGACTTTTCATTGGGTGGCCAATGAAAAGGAAGCCAACATCAACCATACATGACTTCTATAGTCTTGACCTTCTGTTGAGTGGCCAATTGAAAGGAAGCCAAAATCAACCTAATAGGAAGCAAACTCTTTAGTCTTGACTTCTATAGTCTTGCCCATCAACCTGACATAGTCTTGGCCTCTATAGTCTTGGCATCTATAGTCTTGACCATCAACCCGCCATGAAGCTAATTCCTTCCATTGGGTGGCCAGTGGAAAGGAAGCCAACATCAACCCTACATGAAGCTAGTTCTATAGTCTTGACTACCAAGCAAGGGGCAAATTCTTTAGTCTTAACCTATAGTCCTGATCATCAACCCGACATAAATCTTGGCCTCTGTTGTCTTGACCTCCATAGTCTTGACCATCAACCTGATATGGGCTAATTCTATAGTCTTGACCTTCTGTTGGGTGGCCAATGAAAGGGAAGCCAACATCAACCCTACATGAAACTAATTGTATAGTCTTGGCCATCAACCTGGCAAGAAACTAATTCTGTAGTCTTGACCTCTATACCCTTGACCATCCACCTGATATGAAGCTAATTCTTTATACGCCTGATCATCAACATGATATGAAGCAAATTTTTAGTCTATAATCTTGACCATCACCCTGACATCGGCTAATTCTATAGTCCTGCCCTTCTGTTGGGTGAACAATTGAAAGAAAGTCAACACCTACCCTGCATGAAGCTAATTATATAGTCTTGACCATCAACCCAGCAAGAAACTCATTCTGTAGTCTTGACTTCTATAGTCTTGACCATTAACCCGATATGAAGATATTTCGTTAGTCTTGACTTCTATAGTTCTTACCATCAACCCAACCTGAAACCAATTCTATAGTCTTCACCTCTATCCTTAACCATCAACCCTACATGGGACAATTTCTGTAGTCGTGACCTCTCCTTTCTTCCTTCTGTCCCCCAATTGCCCATCCCAGGCAGCCTCTGATTGCCCAAAAATGGTTGCCATGTTTGTTTGTGTATGTTCTGGGTTTTAGTCAGAACTTTTAAGGAGCCTTCCACAAGGAATATCCATGGCTCTCTTCAAATGTGGGGATACTGTTCAATAACTTGGATAGAGCTTGTGTAGAGTTCAAGACTTGAACCCAGATCGGATAACTACTGCATTGGCATGGGGACAAGAAGTTTCAACCTTACGTTTTGGTCTCTTCCAACTCTGTGATTCCCCCACAGGATCTCTTCAGCAAGTCAGATCCCTTTCTAGAGATCTACCGGATCAATGACGATGGGAGCGAGCAGTTGGTCCACCGCACAGAGGTGAGTGTCTCTTCGAATGGTTCAAAAGGAGGAAGAATTCTCCAAGTAAAATAAGAAAGAAGCATTACGGCAAATTCTTTCTGGTTATGGCATGTTTCTACTCCTCATGGGGGCTCTGATTAAGGCAGCAGTTCTCAAGCTTCCTAATGCTGTGACCCTTAATACAGTTCCTCATGTTGTGGTGACCCCCAACCATAACAATATTTTCATTGCTACTTCATAACTGTATTTTTGCTACTGTTGTGAATTGTAATGTAAATATCTGATATGCAGGATGTATTATCATTCACAGGATCAAATTTGGCACAAGTACCCAACACGCCCAAATCTGAATACTGGTGGGGTTTGGGGGGAAATAGACATTGACATTCGGGAGTTGTAGTTGATGGGATTTATAGTTCACTTATAATCAAAGATCATTCTGAACTCCACTAGCAATAGAATTGAACCAAACTTGGCACACAGAACTCACATGACCAAGAGAAAATGCTGGAAGGGTTTCGTGGGCATTGACCTTGAGTTTTGGAGTTGTAGTTCAGCTACATCCAGAGAGCACTGTGGACTCAAATAATGATGGATATGAACCAAACTTGGCACAAATATTCAATATGCCCAATTGTGAACACTGGTGGAGTTTGGGGGAAAATAGACATTGACATTCAGGAGTTGTAGTTGATGGGATTTATAGTTCACTTACAATCAAAGATCATTCTGAATCCCAGCAACTATAGAATTGGGCCAAACTTCCCACACAGAGACCCCCATGACCAACAGAAAATACTGTGCTTTCTGATGGTCTTTGGCGAGCCCTCCGATGCCCCCCTTCATGACCCCCCCCCAGGGATTGCAACCCCCAGGTTGAGAAATTCTGCTCTAGATCCTTGGAAATTTTGAAACGAGGTACTTGCAGACCCCTTATTTAACCATTTATTGCAAAATGACATTTGGGAGGGTGATGCCATTAACAGATTTCATATTAAGAGGGTCAAGAATATGTGGGGAAATATCCCACCTGCTCAAATGAAAGAAAGGGGTTAACAACTTTGATGATAATAAAGGAGAGAGGAAAGAAAGGGATATATATGTGTGTATGTGTGTGCCCAAAAAGGCTGCAATTGGAAGCCAATTTGAATAGATTCAGGAGCTGCAATCCGAAGAGGAGGAAGGCAATCAAAGTTATTATGAAAAATGATCATGCCGTTTCTCCTGGAAGAGTCTGGCTTATTGTTGTTGTTGTTTTAATACCTTTAGAAACACTTTGAGACCGTTAGCAATAAGAAAAAGAACACAAAGCAGCCGTGCGCAAATAGAAATATAATAAAAACAGCAACAGGTAGGCCAAGAAAGCAATAACATGGGGAAAACACCAAGATTTCTTTCATAATGGGAAATGCTCTGTCTCTGGAGGAAGGGAGAGAGAAAGAAACAGAACAAGAGAGAAAGGAAGGAACGAAGGAAGGAAGGGCGAAAGAAAGAAACGAAGGTAGGTAGGAAGGAAGGAAGGAAGGAAGGAAGGAAGGAAGGAAGGAAGGAAAGTCAAAAGGAAAAACGAAAGTAAGGATGGATGGATGGATGGATGGAAGGAAGGAAGGAAGGAAGGAAGGAAGGAAGGAAGGAAGGAAGGAAGGAAGGAAGGAAGGACGAAAGCAAGGAAGAAAAAGGAAGAAAGGAAGGAAAGAAGGAAGAAAGGAAGAATGAAAGGGAAGAACAAAAGGAAGGAAGAAAGAACAAAAGGAAGGAAGGAAGGAAGGACAAAAGCAAGGAAGAAAAAGGAAGAAAGGAAGGAAAGAAGGAAGAATGAAAGGAAGGAAGGAAGAACAAAATAAAGAAAGAACAAAAGGAAGGAAGGAAGGACAAAAGCAAGGAAGAAAAAGGAAGAAAGGAAGGAAAGAAGGAAGAAAGGAAGAATGAAAGGAAGGAAGAACAAAAGGAAGGAAGGAAGATCTAAAGGAAGGAAGAATGAAAGGAAGGAAGAAAGAACAAAAGGAAGGGAGGGAGGAATGAAGGAAGAAAGGATGGAAGAATGAAAGGAAGGAAGAATGGAAGGAAGGAAGGAAGGAAGGAAGGAAGCAAGGAAGGAAGGAAGGAAGGAAGGAAGGAAGGAAGGAAGGAAGGAAGGAAGGACAAAAAGAAGGAAGGAAGAAAAAGGAAGAAAGGAAGGAAGAATGAAAGGAAGGAAGGAAGAACAAAAGAAAGGAAGGAAGGAAAGACAAAAGGAAGAATGAAAGAAAGGAAGAATGAAAGGAAGGAAGGAAGGAAGGAAGGACAAAAAGAAGGAAGGAAGAAAAAGGAAGAAAGGAAGGAAAGAAGGAAGAAAAGAAGAACTCAGTTTGGCCAGACACTCAAATGCATACATGATGATGATGCATTTTATTTCTTACCTGCCTCTCCTCAAGTGAGGGTACAATATCATTATTAAGATACATAACATAAAACCATTAAAGCACATCTTTTAAAAGACATAGACAGAAGGTTTTGAAGCACATTAGAATCATTCTAATCATGGCAATATAAATTCATAGTGTTAAAGTGACTGGGTTTATATAACTTTGCTTCAGGTCGGGCGGAGAATAAATGAGCTGGCAGTTAAAGTGGTATCATACTGCATCAATTCTGCAGTTTAGACGCAACCCAATATATTCCCCCCCCCCCTCTTTTTCCATGCCTATTTTCTACAGTTTGTCAAGAACAACCTGAGCCCAGTTTGGGAGCCCTTCAAAGTCTCTCTGAACTCCCTTTGCAGCTGTGAAGACAAGCGGAAGCTGAGGGTAAGGATGGTGGGGTTCAAGCGGGTTCAAGGAAGGAAGCCCTTTGTGAATTTGTAGGTTTCCTAATGTGTGAAATGGATTGGAAGTAAGGCACCTTGCAATCTTTGGGAAAGTCTTTTTCTTGACTTCCACTTTGATGGATTTATGAACTCACTCTGGGTTTTAGTCCGAACTTTAGAAGGCACAGACTCTATTTAAGGTGTAATAAATTAGATAGATCATATTGTGGGGTGTACCTTTAGGGTCCCTTTCAACTCTATAGTTCTATGATTTTTTAAAGCTCTTTGTGGGTCCATTCTGGGTTTTGGTCTGAACTTTGGAGGCATTGAAAGCATTTATGATCCTTATGTTTCACTAAGTTGTATAGGTCAGTTTGTAGGGTTGGACTGGATGACCCTTTAGACCCCTTCCATCTTGTGTTCCATAATTTGATGGCCTTAAAGCTCTTTGTGAATCTGCTCTGAATTATAGTCTGAAATTTAGTAAACCTTTTCAAGACATTGGATTTATTTGGCATCCTTAATGTGCAATAAATAGCATCAGTCAGATTGCAGGGTTGGACTAGATGACCCTTGGGGGTCTTTTCCAATTCCATGATTCTATGGTCTTTTAAAGCTCTTGATGTGGGTTTGGCATAGAATTCTCTTGTTGCCCTGGATCAAAATTCCCAAAAGGTCTGGGTGGGGGGATTTGGGGAGTTCTAGTCCACTGCAAAAGCCCCGTTTCTCAGTTCTCAGCCATTCTTCTCTCTGCGTTGCAGTGCATTGTCTTCGACTACGACTCACGCGGCAAACACGACTTCATTGGCGAGTTTTACACCACTTTTGAGGAGATGCAGAAAGCCATGGGGGGAAACAAGGTGGGTGCTGGCGTTATATTCAAATCCCTAAGTTTGCATAGCTCGGCTGGGGAAACCCATTGGGTCACCTTGGGTAAGTCACACTTTCTCAGCCTTGGAGGAAAACAATGGCAAATCCTACTCTCAAGGAACCTTATCAAGACAACTACAAGACAGGGTCACCATATATCATTCCAGATCTGTCTTATCTTTCGGAATTTGGGTTAGATATTTAACCAGTCCGAACAAGGTACTAGCCAAGTATTAACCAGCTTTGGCCCTGCTTAGCTTTTGATATTGGGTCAGGTTAGACCTTTGGTGGGCACTTTCAATATTTTAAGGCCAAGGGTTATCCTATGCAAAAGATGGAGACCCACCAGAAATAAAAGCAATGGGGAAGAAACAATTGGACATCTTGGTATTTGTCCATTTCTCACCTTCCTTTTTCTCCAACCAACAGATCCAATGGGACTGTATAAACCCAAAGTACAAGATCAAGAAGCGGAACTACAAGAACTCAGGTGTGGTCATCCTTCTGGACCTGAAGGTGAGCTGAAGGGACATAAATTTCAGAGGTCCATCTGTGATGGCAATGATAACGGAGGGGCACAGCTTAGTAAGCTGGTCATCTTTGCAAGATGGTCAGGAGGGAGTCCAGCCAAGTCACTGATTCACTCACTCTTTCTTTGGAAGATCCACAGGGTCTACTCCTTCCTGGATTACATCATGGGCGGATGCCAGATCCACTTCACGGTGAGTCTTGCTCTACCAACAAAGTCTCATCATTTCAGATCAGTTTCATGGAGAATAGCTCAATTGAGACAATGGCCCCATCTCAGATCTATTTCCAGGTGCATTTCTGGATCCATTTCATGGAGAGGAGCTCCACAAATGAAACAACCCCATTTCAGATCCATCTCCAGATCCATTTCATGGAGAATAGTTTACTCAACATAATGGTCCCATTTCAGATCCATTTCCAGATCCATTCCATGGAGAGTAGCTCAACCAACAAGATATGCTCATTTCAGATCCATTTCATGGAGAGCAGCTCAACCAACAAAACAGACTCATTCCAGATCTATTTCCAGATCCATCTCCAGATCCATTTCATGGAGAATAGTTTACTCAACATAATGGTCCCATTTCAGATCCATTTCCAGATCCATACCATGGAGAGTAGCTCAACCAACAAAATAGACTCATTTCCAGATCCATTTCCAGATCCATGTTTATATCCATTTCAAGAAGGGTAGCTCAACCAACAAAACAGACTCATTTCAGACCATTTCCAGATCAATTTCGTGGAGAGTTGCTCAAGCAACAAAACAGACTAATTTGAGATCCATTTCCAGAACCATGTTTAGATCCAGTTCAAGAAGGGTAGCTCAACCAACAAAATAAACCCATTTCAGATCCATTTCTAGATGTATTTAATGGAGAGTAGCTCAACCAACAAAACAGACTCATTTCCAGATCCATTTCATGGAGAGAGTAGCTCAAGCAACAAAATACACTCATTTCAGACCCATTTCCAGATCTGTTTCATGGAGAGTAGCTCAACCAACAAAACAGAAGCAACATAATGGCCCCATACCAGACTCATTTCCAGATCCATTTCAATGAGAGTAACTAAAAAAAAACCAAAATAGACCTATTCTAGATCCATCTCCAGATCTAATTCATGGAGAGAACGACCCATTTCAGGCCCATTTTGGATCCCATGGCCTGGCCTACGCCTCCCCTTTCCATGGTCCATCTGTCTCCCGTTGGGGACCAGGCCCTCAAGTTTGGGGAGGATGCTCTCCAAGCAAGAGGAAAGGACTAGCCAAGCTCAGCCCCCTCTTTCCTGTCACTGCAGTTTTGCAGAGAGAGAGATATGGATATATTTTTCTCTCCAGATCGCCTTCGAAAACAACCAGCACCCAGTTCTTGTATTTGGAAAGAGCGCTGCTCCTTCCGGGAGTGAGTCAGATCCCAAGGAACATTTGAAGGAACAGATTGTGGCGATGCAAACTGGGAACGGCCCCAGGAATTATTTGAGAGCTGCCATATTTTGGGGAAGGAAGGGGGGGAAAGGAAGGGGGGGGGAGGAGAAAGGCCTGTTGCTTAGTTTAAGGAGAGGGTGAAATTTCCCAAATAGTGTGATGAGATGCAAAGACTGTAGCCCCCCAAAAGCCATTGAGTTCAGCTATACCTAGAACAGTGTTTCTCAACCTTTCTAATGCAGCAACCCCTTAATCCAGTTCTTCATGTTGTGGTGACCCCCAACCATAAAATTATTTTTGTTGCTACTTCATAACTATAATTTTGCTACTGTTAGGAATTGTAATGTAAATATCTGATAGTACGTATTTTTATTAACTGGATCAAATTTGGCACAAATACCCAATATGCCCAAATTTGAATAGTGGTGGGGTTGTGGGGGGGGGGGTGGTGGTGTAATTTTCTCATTTGGGAGTTGAAGTTGCTGGGATTTATAGTTCACCTACAATCAAAGTGTTCAGGGCCAAACGCTCTAGATCAGTGGTTCTCAACCTGTGGGTCCCCAGGTATTTTGGCCTACAACTCCCAGAAATCCCAGTCAGTTTACCAGCTGTTAGGATTTCTGGGAGTTGAAGGCCAAAACATCTGGGGACCCACAGGTTGAGAACCACTGCGTAGAACAGTGTAGAACACAGGACTCCCATGATGAACAGAAAACACTACAAGGGTTTGGTGAGCATTGACCTTGAGTTTTGGAGTTGTAGTTCACCTACATCCAGAGAGCACTCTGGACTCAAACAATGATGGAGCTGGACCAAACTTGGCACAAGCACTCAATACTCAAATGTGAACACTGGTGGAGTTTGGGGAAAATAGACCTTGACATTTGGGAGTTGAAATTGATGGGATTTGTAGTTCACCTACAATCAAAGAGCATTTTGAATGCCACCAACGATTGAATTGGGCCAAACTTCCGACACAGAACCCCATGACCAACAGAAAATACTGTGTTTTCTGATGGTTTTTGGTGACCCCTCAGATACCCCCTCGTGACCCCCCCCCCAGGAGTCCCGACCCCAAGGTTGATAAACGTTGGCCTTCTTTAAAGAACTGGTCCTTTTTTAAGGGAGGAATGTCAGGGCACGAGTGCTGCCTTGAAAAGTCCGTGTGGTTTCTAATTGCGCCTTTCTTTCCCATTGACCTCAGGTGGCGATTGACTTCACGGCATCCAACGGAGACCCTCGAAACAGCTGTTCCCTCCACTACATCAACCCTTACCAGCCCAATGAGTACCTGAAGGCCTTGGTGGCCGTCGGGGAGATTTGCCAGGATTATGACAGGTGAGGCCAGGCGGATCGTGGCCCTCCTCCTCACTTCCGGAGCAGAGTCCTGTCACCCCTTGTCTGTCATTTCTGGGCTTTGGATAAGAAATTTGGGGTTGGGGGGTGGGCTTCCTTTTGCTAAGACAAGGACCACTTTATTGGGTAAATCAAGGCATATATACACACACACACACACACACACACACACACAATGAAGGGAGGGGAGCTTTCCATGGTTTTAAAGGGGGAATTTTGGGTTTTGGGTGGTATTAGAGAGAAGAGAGGAATTTGGGGAGTGGGCTTAGAGGACCAACTCGGCTCCATCCTCCCTCTCTAGGGCCACTACAGCATGGTGTGTGTATGTACTATATGTATATATGTATGCATGTATATAGATAGTATGTATGTATGTATTTATGTATATGCCTTGTTTTACTCAAGGAAATGCTCCAAGCCTTAGCTAAGGGAGGAAGGTGACAGCTGGATTGACCCTTAAGCCTACTCCTCAAATTCCTCTCTCTGCTGTGGATGCAGGAGAGGGATGCAGTATGCAATTTTAGTTAATGTTATTTTGCTGGTTGCTTGAGAATTCCAGCTGCTTGAGTTTCAGGTAACTGAGAGTCTACTATATGCCTATGCATGTGTGTGTGTACTATGTATGTATGTATGTATGTATGTATGTATGTATGTATGTATGCGTGTATATAGATAATATGTATGTATTTATGTATATGCCTTGTTTTACTCAAGGAAATGCTCCCAGTCTTAGCTAAGAGAGGAAGGCGACAGCTGGATTGACCCTTCAGCCCACTCCTAAAATTCCTCCCTCCCTTCTAATATCCACAAATTTGCCTTTAAAACCACACAAACCCCATATATACATACATACACACACATATACATACACACACACGCATGCATACACATACATACGTACATATACATATAGTACATACATACACACACACACAGGCATGTAGTAGACTCTCAGTTACCTGGAACTCAAGCAGCTGGAATTCTCAAGCAACCAGCAAAATAACATTAACTAAAATTGCATACTGCATCCACAGGAGAGAGAGGAATTTGAGGAGTAGGCTTAAGGATCAACCCAGCTGTCGCCTTCCTCTCTTAGCTAAGGCTTGGGGCATTGAGTAAAACAAGGCATATAAATACAAACATACTATCTGTCTATTTATATACACACATATACATACATACATACACACAGACATGTAGTAGACTCTCAATTACTTGGAACTCAAGCAACTGGAATTCTTAAGCAATCGGCAAAATAACGTTTACTAAAATTGCATACTGCATCCATGAAGTTGTTTTTCTAATCTAGTACAACTGTGTTCTATTGAATTTAGAACTATCGCTCTCACGCAAACACCCCAGTATTCTGGCACATCCTGAGATCTCGAATCCTTTCTTTCTGCAGCGACAAGAAGTTCTCTGCCTTAGGCTTCGGAGCCAGGATCCCCCCCAACTATGAAGTAAGTCAAAGATTGGGGCATGAAGTTGGTGCATTTAGGACAAGAGGTGGGTGACCCGGTTGGAAGGGACTTGCAAATCTACAAATCCCAGGAGTCCCATCGTGCTATAAAAGAGTACAATATGGGGTCATATCTATTTATTTATTTATTTAAAACATATATATTCTGCTCTTCTCACCCTGAAGGGGACTTAGGGTAGAGCACAGCATATATATGGCAAGCAACCCATGCTGGAACATAAAAATAATTATACATAAACACTACAAATCTCTACTTTAAATCAGTTGCTTAAAACCCACACTTGGCATGGATACATGAATCCTATTATTTTGAATGGGATGAATGACAGAGGGACTGATCAGGTTTAGTTTGCATACAAGACCCTAAAATGAATACAGGAAATTATTATTATTATTATTAGTAGTAGTAGTAGTATACCACTTTTATCTCTTGAAACCTCCGATAATTATTTTGCAGATATGGGAGCCTTTCAGAGTCTAATTGGAAGCTATCTACATTATATAATTAATGCAGATTTGTGCCCCTTTCACTGCCATATCAATACTACAGAAATCCTAGGAGTTGTCGTTTTACAAGGTCCTTTGCCTTCTCTTGCAGAGTATGCAAAATTCAGCTCTTCAGATTCCATTACATGGAGCCTCAGTCGTTAAAGTGGAGTCAAACTGCATAATTTGGCAATGTAGATGCCTCCTCTGAATCTCAATGTTTTGCAGGGAATTTTTCAAGTCTCCCCTCCTGCTTGCCTCTGCACCTCATCCCTTTTTTCCTTGCAAGATGGCATACACAATCATGACAACTTGACAATTTGGAATAGCAAAGCCCTCTCTCTCCATTTGACATCTTTGCAGCAGGGAAGCCTCCCTTTCCGTGCCATTTTTCCCTCGGATCAGAGGACCCCCCGTTGATTCCTCAAATTGGCTCATATTACTATGGATAGCTGGGCTGGCAGCTGAAGGCAATGACAAGATGAGGAAGACAGGATCGTTAATCCAGGTTTCGGCTTCAATCGTGTGCCTTCAAGGCATTTCCAACCTACAAAGACCCTAACATGAGATTTTTCTCTCCCCATATTTTTTCCAAAGAGATTTGGCAATGCTTTCCTCTGTGGCTGAGAGACTGTGACTCTCCCAAGGTCACAATACCGAATGGGGATTCAGACCTAGGTCTGCAGGGCTATAGAACTCCTTCAGCTTGGTACGCAGAGGGAGGCTTCCGATCACTCGGTGACTCAATGTGGCAAGTTTGCCTATCATTTTGCAGATTCAGTGGGTTGTTGTAGGTTTTTTGGCCTATATGGCCATGTTCTAGAAGCATTCACTCCTGATGTTACACCTGCATCTATAGCAGGCATCCTCAGAGATTGTGAGGTCTGTTGGAAACTAGGAAAATTGGTTTTATATATACAACGGTTGAATGAAAAGTAATTCCTCCACCTTCGTAACTCTTCAACAGATGTCAGTACTGGTATACGGCAGGTACTGTCTTGTTCAGTAGACTCTCCTCTACAGTTCCATTTTGGCGGGAAGCCTTAGCATTGAACAGTTGTGTTGGTAAAGTGCAAAGTATGGAACCCTGCTCAGACAGTCAGTCAATTTGACTTAAGCAACGTGCAGTCACTGAGTTCTTGACAGCAGAAGGTATCACCCCAAAGGAGATTCATCCGAGAATGCAAGCTGTTTATGGTGATTGTGTTGATATGAGTACTGTGCGTTGTTGGCCGAGTAAGTTTTAACATCTGAATTGTGTGACCAACAAAGAGTTGGACGCCCTGTGACAGCAACCACCGAGTTTCACAAGCAAATGTTGACAGATTGATTCAGGACGATTGTCGTATCACTCAGAGAGAAATTTCAAGCATAATTGGCATTTGGGTCACAAGAACATTTGGGTCACATTATTGCTTTGCTTGGCTATCAAAAGATCTGTTCATGATGGGTACACAGGATGAACTGTGAGACACTGGTTGCGGAAACAGAGTGTCAACTTCTTCCGTGACGGCTTCAGAAAACTTGTTCATCATTAGCAGAAATGTATCCAATTGTCTGGTGATTATGTGGAAAAGTGAATAGTGATAGTTAAAGAGCACATTCTAAGGATCGTTTGTGCATTTGATTTATTAAAATATTCCCATCCAAACCCAAATAACGAAGGTGGAAGCATTACTTTTCATTCAACCCTCGTATATAATTTTCCTAGTTTCCAACAGACCTCACAACCTCTGAGGATGCCTGCCACAGATGTAGGCAAAATGTCAGGGGAGAATGCTTCTAGAACATGCCCATATAGTCCGAAAAACCTATAACAACCCAGTGATTCTGGCCATGAAAGCCTCCGACAAGTTATTCAGATCTGTTCCAAACTAGACGCCAAGTTTATGGTAGTGCCAGTGGATGCATCTGAGGCAGCTGACTGTCCTATTTCAGTGGATTCGTTTCAGCCCAGGCCCGTAGCCAGGATTTTGTTTCGGGGGGGGGGGGGGGGGGGCTGATTTTTTCAGGGGGGTTTCGGGGGGGGCTGAGTTTCTGGGGGGCTGAGTCTGAGTGAAAGAGGGTCTAGCCTAGCAAACCTTTTGTATCATTACGCCCAATACCCCCATGCATATGGGATATATTGAGTATGGTGATCAGATCATGATATGAATAAACATAACAGTTTAAATAATGCACCAGTAAGGCCTTTTCATGAACCACCATGAGAATTTCGAGGGGGGGGGCTGAAGCCCCTCAAGCCCCCCCCCCCCCCCGGCTACATGTCTGTTTCAGTCTGTTCGGCCTTTTGATGTGGACAAGATTCTTGGAGCTGTGAGAGCGACCACATGTGCTCTAGATCTTTGCCCTTCCTGCCTTATCAAACTTGCCAGTGGAAAATTGGCCAAGTTCATTATGAGGATCATAAGTACCTCGTTGGAACAAGGACAACTAACTTGTAAAAAGCAATTGTAAAACTGATTTTAAAGAAGCCATCTCTGGACTCCTCTGTATTAAATAACTACCGAACCATTTCAAATCTCCTTTTTCTGGGCAAGGTTCTGGAACGAGTTGTGGCTTCTCAGCTCCAGGAATTCTTGGATGAAACAGATTATCTGGATGCTTTGCAGTCTGGTTTTAGGCCTGGTCACGGAATGGAGACAGTTTGGTCACCATGTGTTCTCTTAGATCTCTCAGCAGTTTTCGATACCATTGATCATGGTATTCTTCTGAGTCAGCTCTCTGGAATGGGTCTTGGGGACGCTCCTTCCTGGAGGATTGTACCCAGATGGTGGTGCTGGGGGACCCCTGCTTGGACCCCGGTCCTTGACATGTGGGGGTCCCACAAGATTCCATTCTATCTCCCATGCTTTTTAACATCTACATGAAACGGCTGGGTGAGGTCATTTGGAGTTTTGGAGTTGGGTACCATCTCTACTCAGTTGACACACAACTCTACTCTCTTTTCCACCTCATTCCAAGGAAGCTCCATGGATTCTGGACCAGTGCCTGGCAGCTGTGATGGACTGGATGAAGGCCAACAAACTGGGGCTTAATCCAGACAAGACAGAGGTCCTCCTAGTCAGTCGCGAGGCCAATCGAAGCATAGGGTGACAACCTGTGCTCAATGGGGTCACACTTCCCCTGAGGACACAGGTCGCAGTCTGGATGATCTCCTGGACTCATCGCTGACACTTGAAGCTCAGGTGTCGGTGATGGCCAGGAGGGCTTTTGCACAGTTAAAACTTGAGTGCCAGCTGCAACCGTACCACGAAAAGACTTGGCCACAGTGGTCCACACCTTAGTTACATCCAGATGGACTACTGCAATGCACTATACATGGGGCTGCCTTTGAAGATGACTCAGAAACTGGTTAGTGCAAAGGTCGTCAGCTAGATTACTAACCAGGGCTAGCTACAGGGTACATGCCATGCCGCTGCTGAAGCAGCTCCACTCGCTTCTGACAAGTTTTCAGACCCAATTCAAAGTGCAGGTTATTACCTACAAAGCCCTGTATAATTCAGGTCCAACCTAGCTTCATGACCACATCTCTTTCTATGAACTAACGCAGACCCTAAGATCTGCCAGGGAGGCTCTCCTCTCGGTCCTGCCTCCGTCTCAAGCGTGGTTCGTGGGGACGAGAGAAAGGGTCTTCTCAGTGGTGCCCCCCCCCAGCTTTGGAAACCCCTCCCAAAAGAGATTGGATTAGCCCACACCCTCCAAGTTTTTCAGAAACACCTGAAAACATGGCTTTTTACACAAGCTTTTGACCATGTTTAGGGATTATGATCACTATAGGGCGCCCAGAGCCCAGAAAGTTACTTTTTACCATATGAATTATTTTTAGGTCTTGCAACTGTGGTGCAAAATAATTTATCCTCATTGCCGTATTGAAAAACGATTCATCCTTATTGCAATGCTGCAAAAGTAACTCGTTACACTGCTCGTTTTCTGTAACTGCTGAGAAGGAACTAAGACAAGGATTTCGCTCCAGGGATGAATGAGAAAGCTCAAGTGTTCACTCTCCACTGGACAAAAATAAAAAGAAGAAAGAGAAAGAAAGAAAGAAAGAAAGAAAGAAAGAAAGAAAGAAAGAAAGAAAGAAAAGAAAAGAAATTTTGCACATTTTTCCTTTTTTTCCCCCCTGTTCATTTGGGGACTTTTGCATAAAACTGAGGAAGGGTTTTGTTTTGTCTTGCAAAATAGAATCGGATCTAAGTCTGCAAAATGGCTTGCATTTGCTTTCCTTCAGCAATGGATTTAATCTGTTGAAACTACAGGACTTCAGTCAACAATCATGCACAAAAAAACCCATTGCACTCAAAATACAATAGTTGATCTGTTCTTTTATTTGTTTTCCCCCTTTCCTTTCTATTTCAATGCCAATTCCTTCTCCATTCCATTCAGTTTCCTCCTTTCCTTCCCTCTTTCCTCCCCTTCCTTCCTTTCCTTCTCCTTCCTTCGTTTCTTCTTTCCTTCCTTCTTTCCTTTCTTTTTCTTCTGCAAATATGAATGAAAATGGAAGAATTCATTGGCCTTTTCATTCCTGCTCAGAAATTCAAAACCACACAGAGACTGTTAGTCATTTCAACACAATGAGACGCTTTTTATAACCGAGGACAAGGGCCCTCGTGAGCATTCCTTAGAAGGTATTCTATCAAATACCTCTGAAAAATGCCCTTTGCTAGAACCGTGGAAGAATAACCAGGGGAAAAAAATATTCAGCACACGAAAGAAGCGTGTGCTATTTCTTCAGTGCTATCATGTTGTGCCATTATTATTATTTGGCAACCCTATAATAGAAGTGAGAACTATTATGCTATGCATGGGTCTGCCTATATTATCTCTACATTGCTCATAATTCATTCATGCCAACCTCTTGGTAATGTTTTGTTGTCTTTCCTGCTCAGGTCTCCCATGATTTTGCCATTAATTTCAACCCAGATGACGACGAGTGTGAAGGTAAGGAAGCGGTCAACAGGGAAGTTTTGGCCTATTGCTATCCAAATATGGATTGAAAGCATTAAAAGGAGGAAGGGAAGGCAAGAAGGTAGGGCACCTTTCAGAGAGACTGGTATTTATTTTTGCGTGAGAGGTGAGAGAGACAGAATCGAATAGAATAGGTGAGGTAAAGAGATAGATAATAACAGATGATAAGCGATGGATAGATGGATAGAAGGATGAATGGATAGATAGATAGATAGATAGATAGATAGATAGATAGATAGATAGATAGATAGACAGGCAGGCAGGCAGGCAGGCAGGCAGACAGACAGACAGACAGGATAGATAGATAGGATAGATAGGATAGATAACATGGATAGATGGATAGATAGATGAGATAGATGATAACATGGAGGGATGGATGGATGGATGGATGGATGGATAGGATAGGATAGGATAGGATAGGATAGGATAGGATAGATGAAATGGATGATAACATGGATAGATAGATAAATAGATAGATAGAATAGATAGGATAGATGAGATAGATGATAACATGGATGGATGGATAGAAGGGTAGATGAGATAGATGATAATATGGATAGAAATATCGATAGATAGATAGATAGATAGATAGATAGATAGATAGATAGATAGATAGATAGAGGATAGGATGGGATAAATGAGAGAAGATAACATGGATGGATGGATGGATGGATAGGATAGATGAGATAGATGATAACATGGATGGATGGATAGATAGAAGGGTAGATGAGATAGATGATAATATGGATAGAAATATCAATAGATAGATAGATAATAGATAGATAGATAGATAGATAGAGGATAGATAGGATATGATAAGATGGGATAAATGATAGATGATAACATAGATAGATAGATAGATAGATAGATAGATAGATAGATAGATAGGATAAATGAGAGATGATAACATGGATGGATGGATAGATAGATGAGATAGATGATAACATGGATAGATGGATGGATAGGATAGATGAGATAGATGATAATATAGATGGATGGATGGACAGACAGGATAGATGGATGGATAGACAGGAGGTGATAACATGGAGAGGTGGAAAGATAGATGAGATAGGTGATAATATGAATAGATGAATGAATAGATAGGATAGATGATAACATGAAAGGAGGTGGATGGATAGATGATAGAAAGATTTATATAGACAGAGAGACAAACAGATAAATAGTAGATAGAGAGAGTGAGGATAGATGATAGATGATAGACAGACACACAGACAGACAGGAATTGCCAGAGATTCCTTGCAGAGGTCCAGTCTGGCCACATTCTGCTTTTGGCTCCCTGGAGTTTAATGCCCATCCATGGACGTGCCTTGTGGCCATTCCTTCTGACCCTGTTTTGTTGCAGGATAGGTTTGTGAAGTGACTTATAGTTTTCCAGTCATGACCTTCCTGGAACCACAGAACCTTGGACAAGCAAGAGCCACAGAGGCAAGCAAAACATAGCAGAGCCCATTCACAGCAAACACATTTTAGTCAGTTAATCAGTTTGTCAGCACAGTACAACGGCAATGCCTGACCTCACAGGATCAGTTTTTCATCCAAAAATATCAGGAGGCTTTAATCTTAACCGTTGCACTATATACACCTTTGCAATCTGGTTACGCAGACCCACAATCAGTTTTGTACTTACAAATGATCCTCAGAGAGTCACACACGACAGGATTCACACAGGAAGAGAGATATTGAGCATTTCCTCTCCCTTTTATAATTTGTCATCAGTAAGGGACAAATGACTGATGTAACCCCTAGTCATAAACCTTCCATGATTATGACTCAGCCATTGTTACATGCCACTTAGGTATTTCATCCTGTCTTTCTCAGTGTTTCCCCAGGCGTGATCACATGTCCATTAAAAGTGTATTTTTTAACATAGATTCAATGCTAAGGCATTTCTATCAAATGCGTTGCCCTTCCTTTCTCCTCCTTAGGCATCCAAGGTGTGGTGGAGTCCTACCAGAACTGCTTGCCCAAGATCCAGCTCTACGGCCCCACCAATGTGGCCCCCATCATCTCCAAAGTGGCCCAAGTGGCTGCTGAGGAGGAGAAGACCAAGGAAGCCTCGGTAAGTGAGCCAACAATCTTGCAGGATGGCCCAACAAAGGGATCAAATCTGGGGGCTTCTATGTTGGGGGAGGGTTCTGCATCTGTGCATGTTTTAGATCAATCATGAGCCAACTTTGGCCCTCCAGGTGCTTTGGGCTTCAACTCTCACAATTCCTAACAGTCTACCACAGTGTTTCTTAACCTTCCTAATGCCGTGACCCCTTAATACAGTTCCTTACGTTGTGGTGATCCCAACCATAACATTATTTTCGTTGCTGTAATTTTACTACTATTATGAATCATAATGTAAATATCTGATATTCAGAATATATTTTCATTCACTGGACCAAATTTGGCACAAATACCCAATATGCCCAAATTTGAACACTGGTGCGGTTTGGAGGAGTTATTGATTTTGTTATTTGGGAGTTGTAGTTCCTGGGATTTATAGTTCACCTACAATCAAAGAGCATTCTGAATTCCACCAACAATGAAATTGAACCAAACTTGGCACACCGAACTCCTATGACCAACAGAAATACTGGAAGGGTTTGTTGGGCATTGACCTTGAGTTTTGGAGTTGTAGTTCACCTACATCCAAAGAGCACTGTGGACTCAAACAATGATAGATCTGGACTAAACTTGGCATGGCTACCCAATGGGAACACTGGTGGAGTTTGGGGAAAATAGACCTTGACATGTGGGAGTTCTAGTTGCTGGGATTTATAGTTCACCTTCAATCAAAGAGCATTCTGAACTCCACTGATAGAATTGGGCCAAACTTCCCACACAGAACCCCCATGACCAACAGAAAATACTGGAAGGGTTTGGTTGCGTTTTGGAGTTGTAGTTCACCTACATCCAGGTAGAGCAATGCAGACTCAAACGATGATGGATCTGGACCAAACTTGGCACAAATACTCAATAGGCCCAAATGTGAACACTGGTGGAGTTTGGGGGAAATAGACTTTGACATTTGGGAATTGTAGTTGTTGGGATTTATAGTTCATCTACAATCAAAGAGCAATCAAAGACCTCTCTGACACCCCCTCACGATCCCCTCCGGGTTTCCGATCCCCAAGCTAAGAATCGCTGGCCTATCTGCTGTTAGGAATTGTGTGAGTTGAAATCCAAAACACCTGAAGGGCCAAAGTTGGTTCGTGCCTGCTTTAGATGCATCTCCACTGGAGAAGGAATGCAGTTTGACACTACTTTACCTGCCATTGGATCCTAGCTACAAGAAAGGCGTCCATCCTAAACTCAAAAGTTTCTGGCAACTGATTTGGCACAAAAAGAGCAGCAAAAATACCAAAAGGAAATGGACACTTTAAATTTAAAATTGGGGCAAAATCGGGGCAAAGAGGGCACAGAAGGGTCTGGTTTTAATTAATTTAATTAATCCAGTTTTGGGGGGAATGTGGCATTTCAAGGCCGGAAGACCAAGTCTCTCTCTTCCCCCCACCCCACCACCCCTTCCCGTGCCCCTTGCCAGCTTGGGCATGTAAGGACGCATTAGCGGCTGTCACTAATTGATAGCTCAGCAGCAAAGCTTTCAGGCGGCTAACAAGCAAAGTGCTGACAAGGTCCCCGAAGGAGGAGAGAAAGCCGGGATTGTCCCTCATTGCGTCCCTGAGTCCTTGGCTAATGTAAATAATGGAGGAGAACCCAACCGTAAGCACCCTTCGCCCATCTGGGATGTTTCGGCATCAGTGAAGGGATCTTCTATGCTGTAGTTTTCATGCAGTTTGATCCCACTTTAACTACTATAGGATCCCAGGAGCTGTGGTTTAATGAGACACCCGCGCTTTTTCCAGGGAGAGAAGGTGAAAGACCTTGCAAAACAATAACTTGCACAGTTCTGTAGTAGTGAGGTCCTGGCTAATGTTCACGGCTTCTGGGATGCCGAGCCCAAAACATTCAAGACCAATGATGGAGCTCCTGGCCTACGTTCAGGGATTATAGGATATGAAGTCCAAAACATTCAGAACCTAAGATGGAGATCCTGGCCAATGTTCAGGGATTGTGGGATATGGAGTCCAAAGCATTCATAACAAAGATGGAGATCCTGGTTAATGTTCAGGGATTATGGGATATCGAGTCCAAAACATTAAGAGTACCAATGATGGAAATCTTGGCCAATGTTTTGGGATTGTGGGATATGAAGTCCAAAACATTCAGAACCAAAGATGGAGATCCTGGCCAATGCTCAGGGATTATGGGATATGAAGTCCAAAACATTCAGAAGCAAAGATGGAGATCCTGGCCAATGCTCGGGGATTGTGGGATATGAAGTCCAAAACATTCAGAAGCAAAGATGGAGATCCTGGCCAATGTTCAGGGATTAGGGGATATGGAGTCCAAAACATTCAGAGGAACAATAATGGAGATCCTGGCCAATGTTAGGGATTGTGGGATATAGAGTCCAAAACATTCAGAACAAAGATGGAGATCCTGTCCAGTTTTCAGGGATTATGGGATATGAAGTCCAAAACATTCAGAGGACCAAAGATGGAGATCCTGACTGATGTTATGGGATTATGGGATATGGAGTCCAAAACATTTAGAGGACCAATTATGGAGATCCTGGCTAATATTCAGGGATTAGGGGATATGGAGTCCAAAACATTCAGAACCAATGATGGAGATATTGACTGTGTTCAAGAATTCTGGGATATGTAGTCCAGGCATCTCCCCCTCTGTCTTTCTTGCAGCAATATTTCATTCTTCTGATCCTGACGGACGGCGTGGTGACCGACATGGCTGACACGCGAGAGGCCATTGTCCGAGCCTCCTACTTGCCCATGTCCATCATCATCGTCGGGGTGGGCAACGCTGATTTCACAGACATGCAGATCCTGGACGGGGACGATGGGGTCTTGCGGTCTCCCAAAGGGGAGCCCGTCCTGCGCGACATTGTGCAGTTCGTCCCCTTCCGCGATTTCAAAAACGTAAGTCGAGCAGAAACACACAATATATGGCAAAGGTGCAGCTGCACTGTGGAAGTGGGTGAAGTTCAACATCTCTCTGCTATGGAACCATGGGAATTGTAGTTTTACGAGGTTCCAAACCTTCTCTGCCAAAGGATGCATCTACACTGAGGAATGAATGAAGTTTGACACCACGGGATCCTGGGAATTATAGTTTTGTAAGAGCCTTTTCTGCCCAAGGATACAAACTACAACTCCCAGTAAAAAGTTGTACTAAACTACATTAATCGTGCCATGCTGGCTCCCGAATTTCCAAAACACTGTATTTTTTAGACCTGAACTTTTAGTTAATCAATGCTGGGTATCTTTTGGGGATTTTAAATTCTATCGGTTTTCTTTGGGGATTACAAATCCCTTGTGGAATTTATGGGTGTCCTTTGGGATCACAAAACCCATGCAAGATGGAATGGAGTTTAGGGCAAGAGACCAACCCGCTGCGGATGTTTCCCCGCTTCTTTGAGCCTTGCTCGCTCTCAGGCAGGCGCATAGGCACACCACACACCGGAGAGGAAAATCCATAGTTGGGTATTTCTGGCAGCCAAGGCGGCCATTGATGAGGCTTAATTGGCTTTGACTGTCAGTAATGTTGGCCTCCGGAGACAAGCTGTCGAGACTCAGTTAACCCTTTGGATCTGAGCATCAGGAGAAGTACAAAAGGCCAGGCAGGAGGAGAGAGGGAACGAGAAAATCCCCAGCAAGAAAAAAAGAACAAAGACATCTCCTTGCTCTGGTGGCATCTTGCTGAATTTTCGAAGCAGAAAGGAAAGACTCAAAGGAATTGGGTGTTTTGGTTCAATTTGGGAGCAAAGCTTTATTTTACCCAGTTCCGGGACATTTTCAGCAAGTGATATTGATTGGCAGTCTCTCCTCCAAGTCTTTACTAGGGAGGACCCTGCTTACCTTCCACAATCATAAAGAATCGGGTGTGTTTAAGTAGGACAGTGTTCCTCAAGCTTCCAAACGCTGCAACCCCTTAATACAGTTCCTCATGTTATGGCGACCCCCAACCATAACATTATTTTAGTTGCTACCTCATAATGTAATGTAAATATCTGATATGCAAAATGTATTTTCGTTCACTGGACCAAATTTGGCACAAATACCTGATATGCCCAAATTTGAATAATGGTGGGGCTGGTTGGGGGATTGATTTTGAGGTGATTTGGGAGTTGTAGTTGCTGGGATTTATAGTTCACCTAAAATCAAAGCGAATTCCGAACTCCACCAACATTGGAATTGAACCAAACTTGACACACAGAACTCCCATGACCAGCAGAAAATACTGGAAGGGTTTGGTTGACATTGACTGTGACTTTTGGAGTTGTAGTTCACTTACATCCAGAGAGCACTGTGGACTCAAACAATGATGGATCTGGACCACACTTACTCAAAATGCCCAAATGTGAACACTTCTGGAGTTTGGGGGGAAATTGACATGTGTCAAGCCTCATCAATAGTTGTTGGGATTTCTAGTTCACCTACAATCCAAGAGCATTCTGAACCACACCAATAACAGAATTGGGCCATACTTCCCACATAGAACCCCCATGCCTCGAAGGAACTCACAGGTGCGAGCCTCTCTCCAGCCTCGCACACTCTCCCTCACCCATACATGCACGCCTGCTCGCCCCTCCCCGTTTGGAGTCTCAGAAACAGCCCTCCCCTTAGCTGAGAGGCCAGCCAATCACAGCAGAGGAGGGCTTTTGGTGGGAGGATTCACCCTCTATTTCCAGTAAGGAAGAGAAGGACAGGCGGAGAGATCTTCAGCCTTGTCCACCAAAGGGGTTCCCAAGACCATCAGAAATATGTGTTTTTTGATGGTCTCTGGTGACCCCTCTGAAACCCTCACAACCCCCTCAGGTTGAGAAGCACTAATGTAGGGTATTTAGGTCTCTGCTTGCACCTTGGATAACCCATTTACAGTCTTAACTAAAGCCCACTAAACAGAAAGCATTAATCATACAAAAGCAAGGGAAGGTAGCAGTTGTTGTCCTGAAAACTAGCTCCCCTCCTAGTTTTAACCAGTGCTGGTTTGCTTAGCTTCCAAAGTAAGATGGGATCTGGTGCCTTATTATTTGCATCTCTACTTGGACCTTGGATAGCTCCTTTGTAGTTTTGATTAAAGCTCATTGAACACTGACCATGAGCCATAGCAAGCCAGGGGATGCTGAGAGGAGTTGTCCTCAAAACCAGCTTCCATGCATGTCTTAACCAAGGCTGACCCTACTGAGAGTGATATCACTTATGACTTGTGAGTGGTTTCCTACCCAGGTACTGACCATATTGGACTCTGCTTTGCTTCCAAGACAAGATGGTATCCAGTGCCTTGAAGTGATTATTTACATCTTTACTTGCTTTCAAATAGCTCCTTCATAGTCTTGAATAAAGCCCATGAAACAGATACCATTAAGCGTAGCAAGCCAGGGGATGCTGGGTGTTGTTACTAAAACCATCACTTTTCCAAGCCTTAACCATGTTTGACTCTGCTTCGCTTCCAAAATGAGATTGGTTCCAGTTCCTTGAAGTTATTTACATCTCTACTTATCATGAATATAATAATAATAATAGTAATAATAATAATAATAATTAAAAAACAACAACGTACCCTTTGATAGCTCCTTTGTAGTCTTAACTAAAGCCCAATAAACAGGCACCGTTAACCATACCAAGCTAGGGAATGCTGGGTGCTGTTGTCACTAAAACCAGCACTTTCCCAAGCCTTAACCATGTTTGACTCTGCTTTGCTTCCAAGATGAATTTGGTTCCAGTGCCTTGAAGTTATTTACATTTTTACAWATAARAARAARAARAARAARAAAACTTACCCTTGGATAGCTCCTTTGTAGTCTTAACTAAAGCCCAATAAACAGGCACCGTTAACCATACCAAGCCAGGGYATGCTGGGTGTTGTTGTCACTAAAACCAGCACTTTCCCAAGCCTTAACCATGTTTGACTCTACTTCGCTTCCAAGATGAATTTGGTTCCAGTGCCTTGAAGTTATTTACATCTTTACATATCATAACAACAACAACAACAACAAAACTTYCCCTTGGATAGCTCCTTTGTAGTCTTAACTAAAGCCCAATAAACAGGCACCATTAACCATACCAAGCCAGGGGATGCTGGGTGTTGTTGTCCCTCAAATCCAGCACTTCTCCAAGCCTTAACCATGTCTAATCTTACTTTGCTTCCAAAATGATATGGGATCCGGCACTTTGTTATTAACGTCTCTTGTTGCTCTTGGATCACTCCTTTGTGGTCATGACTCCTACCCCTTAATGCACTCTGAAACCATCAGAGGATGTTGGGAGTTCTTCTCCAGGGGCTTAAGACCTCAATTAACCCCCTTTCCCTCCCCTATTTTTTGCCTCCCAGGCCTCTCCGACGGCGCTGGCCAAATGCGTCCTGGCTGAGGTGCCCAAGCAAGTGGTGGAGTATTACAGCTACAAGGCCTTGCCACCCCGCAGCCACAAAGGAGGAGGCAGCACCCCGGATTCCACCCTGAACTCGCCCCAGTGACCAGGGAGGGTCCGGCTCATTTTGGGACCCTCCTCCACCGCTGCTGTGTTGTCTGTCCTCCCGTCATCCTCCAACTCATGATCCCCAGTGAAGTGACCAGAGGGAAACAGAGTGCCATACACTGCCGGACGTGTAAGACGATGAAGCATTAGTTTCCTGAATTACCGGAGGAGGCCAGGAGCAAAGGGTTGGCTGCCCTTAGTGGACCAAAAGATTTTTCGGAAGTGTTTCCCAAGTGAAGCAAAGTGTCACACTTCAAAACACACACCACACATGAGGGAAAATTGCAAAAAAGGGATGCTGGGAGGAGGATTTAAAGCCTAAACGGAAGACACCCAAGGGTTTCTTGGCTCTCTTGGTCTGGAGGACAGTGATCACAAGTAGAGAGAAGGAGAAGAATACAGAGAAGGAGGAGAATAATTCTCATGTACACACGTACCTATGTGGTATTTACTCTCTGGCCACCCAAGGGACTACCTTTCCTGAAGTTTGCCATTTATTTAATTGTATTGTAGATTGGAGTATATGGCGCTTGGGGGTCTCTTTCATCCATCTACACCCAAACACAAATAGCCACAAATGGGACCACCTTCCCTGCAGTTTGCCATTTATTTACTTGTACTGTGGGTTGGACTAGATGGCCCTTGGGGGTCCCATTCATCCATCTACACACAAATACACATATCAACCACAAATGGGACTACCTGCCCTGCAGTTTGTCATTTCTTTAATTGTTCTGTGGATCCTGCCCAAGCTGTGGGTTGGGCTAGATGGCCCTTGGGGGTCCCACCCATGTAGCCATACTTGCACTTGGCAAGAATCCTCTACTTACCACAGGGGCAACTCTCCCTGCAGTTTGCCCATTCGTTTCTTCAATTGCACTGTTGATCCATTACAGGATGGACTAGATTACCCTTGGGGGGGGGTCCCATCCATACACAAACACACATAACAAGAATAATCCAGCTATCAAAGGAACTACCTTCCTTGCAGTTTCCCCACCCCTTTCTTCCATTGCACTGTGGAGCCATTAAGGGAGGGACTAGATGGCCCTTGGGGATCCCACCCATCCATGAATTTACCTGTAACTTTATTTATATTCAAAAAAGTTATAAAGTAGATCTCCACAACTCTTATGATGTGGTGCCAAGAGAACCTATAGCCAAAGGAATGTGGAGAACAGGGAAGTAATGAGCACAGAAACATATACATGTATTATGCTACACACACAAACCCAGCTCCCTGCTTTGTGCTACAGTTCTCAGTAGGTTTTGTCTGGAGTGGGTGTTTTGCTGCCTGGGCTTCCGTCGCAGAGGAGAGGGCGATCCTCAGGACTTCTCCATGGCTGTGCAAACTCTCCAGGCAGCTGGATGGACCTTCCAATCACTCCTCCTTTGCCCCTTTCAAATGGGGAGAAGCATCCTTTCCTTTACTAAAATCACCATCTTCCTTTCCCCCCATGAAATCACCTGGGGAGCCATGGCATTGTCTGCACGTGAGGAATGGATGCCAGGTCCGGACAGTGAGTTTGGAGGGTTCTCAGTTGCATTGTTGCCCCTCTCCCCTCCTTGTCCAGCTCTGACTATTCTCTCCAATGTGGTCCACAGTCGTCTTTTCGGTGTTGTCGTCCGCCTTCGGTTTGCATGACCAACCTCTTGTTCTTGATGTACAAAAGGGGAGACGCCAAATAAAAGGAGATGTTCAATTTCCATGGGCTCTGGACCTTTTTGATCAGGGAGAGGTCGACTTGCAGAGCCGGCAGGGTTTGGGTTGGCATCTTATAAGTATCCATATATATATGGAGCACTGTGTAGAACAGGTATGGGTATACCCAGGCCTGGGGGCTGAATGCAGACCCTTGGGCTCTTTTCTCAGCCCCTCCTCTCACACCATCTGATCCTATCCCTTCCTTTCCTCCTTCTCCCTTCTTTCCCTCCCTCCTTCTCTTTCATCCCTCCTTGCTTCCTTCCCTCCCTCCCTCCCTTCTTCCCTTCCTTCTTCCTTCTCCTTCCTTCCCTCTTTCTTCTCCTTCCCTCCCTTTCCTTCCTTCTCTTTCCTTCCCTCCCTTCCTTACTTCTCTTTCCCTTCCCTCCTTCCTTTCCCCCTTCCTTCTTCCTTCCTTTCCTCTTTCCTTCCTCCTTCTCTCTCCTTCCTTTCTTCCTTCCTTCCCTCCTCTTGTCCCTCCCTCCCTCCTTCCCTCCCTCCCTTACCTCTTTGTTCTCCCTCCTTCCCTCCCACCCTCCTTCCTCTTTTCTTCCTCCTTCCCTCCTTCTTCCTTCCCTCCCTCCCTCCTTTCCCTTCCCCCTTCCTTCCTTCTTCCCTCTCCCTTCCCTCTTTCCCTCCCTCCTTCCTCTCTTTCTCCCTCCTCCTTTCTTCCCTTTCCCTTCCTTCCTTCCCTCCTTCCTTCCCTCTCTCTCTCTTTCCCCTTCCTTCCTTCCTTCCTTCCTCTTCCTTCCTTTCCTCTCCTTCCTTCCTTCCTTCCTCCCTTCATCCTTTTCCCTTTCCTACTTCTCTTTCCCCTCCCTCCCTCCTTCCTTCCCTTCCTTTCCTTCCTTTCCTTCCCTTCCTTTCCCTTTTCCCCCTCCCTTCCCTCCTCTTCCCTTCCACCTTTCTTCTTTCCCTCCCTTTTGTCTTTCCTTCCTTCTCCTTTCCTTCCCTCCCTCCTTCTTCCCCTCTTTCTCCCTTCCTTTTCCCTTCCACCCTTTCGTCCTTCATTCCTTCCCTCTTTTCCCTTCCTTCCTTCCCCTTCTTCCTTCCTTCCTTCCTTCCTTCTTCCTTCTTTCCTTCCTTCCTGTCTTCTCTTCCTCCCTCTCTCCCTTCTCTTTTTCCTTCCTCCTTTCCTCCTGGAGGAAGTTTACCTGGAAGAAGAGGAGGTAGAGAGGGAACATGTGGACCATGTTTCAAGATTTCAAAGGATGCCCCATTGAGGAGGAGGAGTGGGGTTGGGGGTGGGTGGGGCTGATTTTCTGCTGCTTTAGAGACCATGGATTCAAGTGGCAGGGAAAGAGATTTGACTGAAAAGATTAGGAAGAACTTCCTGAGAGTAAGAGCTGTTGGGAGAGTGGCATAGGCTGCCTTGGAGTGTGGCGGAGTCTCCTTCTCTGGTGACTTTTCCACAGAGGCTGTCTATCAGGAGTGCTTTCATTGTGCCTTCCTGCATGGCAAGGGGTTGGACTGGATGGCCCTTGGGGGTCTCTTCCAGCTCTAGGATTCTATATCAGGATTAGGGAATATGGGATCTCATGGATACACTTTTTCTCTCCCATCCACCATCTCATCCTGACCAAGGTCAACCCTTTTGGGATCCAAACATTTCCCACCTTTCCTTCACTTTCTGCCTCCGAAAGAGAAGAGGAAGGGGGGGAAAGGGCACGGAGGGGGCTTGGGGAGAATGCAGACCCCAAGTAAGAAAGTTTGCCTATGCCTGGTATCGAATGACAGCATCCAGAACAAGCTTGCAAGAAGCAGAGCTGTGCATGGATGTGCCAAATGTTCCATATACCCATGTGTATTATTCAGCGATGCATTTGGTTGCACAACTGCCATGGTTTAGGTCTCCAAAGTTGTGGTTCAACACCTAACTTAACCTTGCAGTGCAGTTTCCATCAAAATTCTGCTTGGGTAGAATATATTAAACCATAGGTTTGCGCATTCAATGGCGGTAGGTAGGCCGCCTGCTTTGGACCGGCATCTATCTGTGCCAATTAAAGATGAAAAGCCGAAGCCTGGCAAAAGGGGCATCTATTCCAGGAAAGAATGTGCTAAAGAAATCCCGCCAGCAACCCATGGGCAGCCGCCTTCTGATCTACCTTTTTTTGCCTTTCACCAAAGCAGACGAAAGAGCTGTTTGCAATAGACAGGGCGCTTTAAAAGACTATATTCAGAGGAAGTTCTCGCTTCATTGGCAGGATAGGATTTATGTCGAATTTTGCAGAAGTTTGCCCACACTTTCATCTCACTAGAGTTGCAGCTTGTGACGCCATCAGAACATGTGCAAAATTGATCGGCACATTACAATACCAAAAGGTATCTGTTCCACGTCCATGACATTTCCTTTGTGGAAACAAAGGTCATCCAATCCAACCCCTTTCTTCTAGGCAGGAAGATACTATTCAAGCCCTCTTGACAGATGGCCATCCAGCTTAGAAACTTCCAGAATAGGGAACTCCACTACCAACCATTCTGTTTTGAATGTTTCCATCTTTGAAATTCATAGAATTTTAAATGCAGTATAATAATAATATGATATTATAATTATATATTTATATTACATATAATATTACTAATGATATGATGATATAGCGGTATGGTGCAATATAGCAATGTTTAATGCTGATATTGTACTATGCAGATACTATAATATATTGTATGTAATATATACTTTGTAAGTCGCTCTGAGTCCCCTTCGGGGTGAGAAGAGCGGCATATAAATGTCGTAAACAAACAAACAAACAAACAAACAAATAAATAAATAAATAGGATCCTACCCCCCCATCCCTATTTTCCCCTACCATTTTACCCTTGTGTGCTTACCTCCCTTGTAGAGATTCCCTATTTTTCCCTTTCTTTCCCATCCAAACTCCCCCTTCCCACGACCCATCCCACCTCCAAACACATCCAATCCAACCCTCTTCTGCCATCTAGGAAGACACCGTCAAAGCCCTCCCAACAGATGCCCATCCAGCCTCTGTTTAATGCAGAAGGCATTGCTTCTGCAGGAAAGTAATGGCGCTCCATGCAGTCATGCTGGCCACATGACCTAGGAGGTGTCTACGGACAATGCCAGATCTTCGGCTTAATAATGGAGATGAGCAACACCCCCCTGGAGTCGGACACAACTGGACTTAATGTCAAGGGGAAACCTTTACCTTTACTTATGCAATTGTCACCCCATGCTCTGCTTTTACAACTTTGAACTGAACGCACCACAATGATGGCTTGAGTCAGGACACATGTGCACGCCTCAGATAACTATAGAATTTTGGAAAGTTGATTCATGCCTATGATAAATCCATTTAAGCGGAGAGCATTTCTGCTGTCGGAGGCCCTTAGCTAGTCTCAGATAAAATGTAAAATGAATGGAGATCTCCATATGGAGATGTGTCTCTTAATGGCAACGCCTTTTGCACAAGCCATGCCCTTGCACATGGGATCTTTCATGGCCTTCCCACCAGACGCCACCGATGTAGGTTTTCCTTTGCAGAGACCTTCACCTGGCATCAAAGAATGCCTTTTGATTTGCCCTGATTGCTTCATTCCTCCCTATTATCCCCTCCATCTCTGTTGATAAAGTTCTCCGGTGAATGTTGCACCCATTACGGTCTAATCCAATCACCGTTTCAGCCTGATTAAAAGGCCGTCCGTTCCCTGGCCCTTGTGCCAAATCAGGGGCGCATTAATGCTCCAAAGGGAACTCTGAATGGCACCTAAAGAGAGGCATCATCAAGGCCTTCGGTGCTTCATCATAACAGAATACCTTTTGGAAAAGTCAGAGGTGCCTCTCTGCAAAAGAGAGAGTTTTGTACCATACCTGTTTGAATGGTTTCTTTTAGGACTCATTACATTCAGCTAGACACCCAAAAGATCTCACGTGATTGTGGAACCCGACTCATTTAAAGTGGAATCAGGTGTCAAACAGGGATGTGTTATTGCCCCAACTTTATTCTCCATCTTCATTGCTATGATACTTCATCTTGGAAAGCTTCCCACCGGAGTGGAAATCATCTATCGGACAGACAGCAAGCTGTTTAACCTCAGCAGACTGAAAGCCAAACCAAGGTTACAACAACATCTGGTATAGAACTCCAGTATGCTGATGACAATGTCATCTTTGCGGATTCAGAAGAAGATCTACAAGCCACTCTAAACACCTTTGCAGAAGTATACAAGAAGCGCGGCCTGTCATTGAACATTGAGAAAACCAAAGTGCTCTTCCAGCAGTCACCAGCCAATCCCTTTCCAATGCCATAAATACAGCTTAATGGTGTAACACTAGAAAATGTTGACCGTTTCCGCTCCCTTGGTAGGCACCTCTCCACCAAAGTAACATCGACACCGAAATACAACACCGCCTGAGCTCTGCGAGTGCAGCGTTTTTCCGAATGAAGCAGAGAGTGTTTGAGGACTGGGATATCCGTAGGGATACCAAGGGGCTTGTTTATAAAGCTATTGTCCTCCCAACCCTGCTATACGCCTGCGAGACGTGGTCTGTCTACAGATGTCACATGCAACTCCTGGAACGATTCCATCAGTGCTGCCTCCGAAAAATCCTGGAAATCTCTTGGGAAGACAGGAGGACAAACATCAGCGTGCTGGAAGAAGCAAAGACCACCAGCACTGAAGCGATGGTCCTTTGCCATCAACTCCGCTGGACCGGCCACGTTGTCCGGATGCCCGACCACCGTCTCCCAAAGCAGTTGCTCTACTCCGAACTCAGGAATGGAAAACGGAATGTTGGGGGAGGAAAGAGATTGAAAGATGGGTTCAAAGCCAACCTTCAAAACTCTGGCATAGACACTGAGAACTGGGAAGCCTTGGCCCTTGAGCGCTCTAGCTGGAGGTCAGCTGTGACCAGTAGTGCTGCAGAATTTGAAGAGGCACAAATGGAGATTGAAAGTGAGAAATGTGCCAAGAGGAAGGCACATCAAGTCAACCCCAACCAGACTGCCTTCTACCTGGAAACTAATGCCCTCACTGTGGGAGAAGATGC